AGCAGTGTTTCCCTTCATTACCTCTGTATAAATCCTGAATAATCATCTTCCACAGGATGACTCATGGCGTGCTTTAAAGGCCTTTTCTCTTTCCTTTCTGGTCCGTTTCTTTTTTTTGTTGTTTGTTATTGAAGGATATGTAGATAATGGGCTTTTAGACGACTTCTTCTATGATGTGTCTATTTAAAGTAGGTTTCAGTTTGGCACGATGTGCAACTTTACATTCTTTTCTAATTTTAAATATTGAATTTCCTTAACCTCACAAAGTTTCAGGAAAGTTGGTAAACCACTACATTATCCCTGCCTGTGCCCAGCGCTAGCCTTATTCTGCAGTATGTCTCTACAAACCACGAAAGCTAAGTGAGGGCCCGTTCACACCAGTCAGCGAGTGTTATGGTGTGTGTCTTGTATTCACATTGCATTCACATGCTTTGTAACTATACATTGCAGTGTTTACATTTTCCTTTTCTTTTTGTTTGAAGCTCAACTGCAGGGAAAATGAAAAGCCTCCTTTGCAGTGGGGCTCCTCCCCCACACACTTCAAGGGTTAAATGCTGTTATGCCCAGGGTCCCAGGAAAAATGACTTCTACTGTACTTTATTGAACGGTAACAAAAAAACACTACATTCACCTTGCGGCCTTTTTAATGCAACACACATTGATGTCCTAAAGCACATGTGTCAAACTCAAGGCCCAGGGGCCGAATCCGGCCCACCAGGCCATTTCCTAGACTTCTACTCTCAGATCTAGGTATTAAGTTATTACTAAAACCAGTGATAATCGAATGCAGAGGCAATTATGATAAAGATTAGATCCATTTATATAGTCTTACAGATACCTTTGAGGGCAACCATAATGTTGATGCGTACCACGATTAAATTGAGTTTGACACCCCTGCATTAAATGATAGATATATGCTGTGTAAGTGTAGATGTATTTTTGCCTCAGTTTTTGGCATCAATTTTCTTATTACAAATTTGGAATTATAAAACATGAATGTCAGGTAGATATAAAAAAAATATTATTACAAGTTAATTACATTTACTTTTATATGCAGCTAGTCTAAGTACCTAAGTTTGTCATGATTGCTGCCTGTACATCAGCTTTCAGGCTAGGTTCACACCTCACCGACACCCGGGGCGTGTGATCATGTGCTAGTGCACACAACGGTTGCCGCACAGCCCTATTGATTTCAATGGGGTGACATCCGTGTGGAAATCGCTAAAAACATGTACCTTTTTTGGCAACACACGACGCGTGGCTTTTTTAGCTGCGATCGTGTTCAATTGCACGTGCGGGATCGCGGTGGGAAACCACGCGATCCGCTCGGCGCGACTGGGGTGCCATTGGAAAATAATAGCACCCACAGCGTGATCGGCTGTGGTGGGCGGTTTTGTGCATGATTGCCACGTGGTCAGGAGATGCCCCTTTGTGAACCTGGCCTCAGACTGATGCAGTGCATATACTGTTGGGTTGAAGGGCAGAGTGATGACTTATCAGTGTGCTTCTGCTCCCTCATGGTTTGAACAGCTTGCCTGGGGTGTATTCTTGCTTGCATAGTAAAGGTCAGGGATCTGGCAGTGCTGTCTTTCAGGTTTACTTGGATCACAAAAATGGCTGCATAGAGGTAGAATTGTTTTGGTAGGGGAAAGGACTAATCAAGAGTATTGCCTATAGGCTCCCTGCAGATGATATTTTCCCTGCTGCTGATTTGCACTGCCTTGTTCTAAACTATCTCTCTGTGGATTTGGCAATCATGGGATGGGAGCAAGGCTTTGCTTTGTCAAGTCAAAGCTGCCCCCTGGTTTCTGGTGGTCTGATGACTAGTAGGGTAATGAACAATAAGCAGCAGCAGAGGTGGGAAAAGCACAGAACTACAGAGTGTATGGAGCAGAAGCAGGGAGATGCTCTCCAGGAAGGGGAAGAGTGAGCAGCACCATAGAGACATCACCAGATCTCATGAAACAAGCACTCAGAGGCAGCAGTTTCTTAGATCATCTTCCACTGCAGATATACAACTATGAGACTGAAGGCACAGGAGTACCTAGGCACATGATGTTCACTGCTATTTGTCAGTGTACTGCTTAGGCACAATAACATTTTTTAGATGTTTACTATAAGATATTAAATCTTCAATTTCTTCACTTCTTTGATTACTCCCCACATCCCTTGGAGCCAAGTTAAAAAAAAGCCCTGTGTAAGCTCTAAGTTGGCGGAGTCCGAACTTACACAAGTCTAAGTGCTCTCCATGTCATGCTTCCCTGATAGATTTGTCCTAATATAGAAAGCTGATATAATTATATCATTTAGCTGCTAGAGAAGGAGACTTTTGTTATGACTTTACTGGAATCATCACTGGAGTGGTATGAAGTATGAAAATCTAGCAGGTCAATCACTTCATTATTTAGCTATTTCTTTTGAGTTGACTTGCACACTAAAACTAAAAACACAGATGAAATGCATTTATGGGAGCTGATTCGCCTGCCAAAGGATTTCTATTTCTAACCATCCATTCCTGAGATTTACACAGCTGTGGCACAAAGCACAGCTCCAAAACCAGTGCAGGAGACATTTTTTCTCCCTTTAGCAGTTAAGTATTACTTACAAGGTCTCAGCACCCTGTGACTGTACAAGGAAAGGAGAAGCAGATGACTGAGGAGCTCTTCTTTCTGTCACTCTGCTCTCTCATGCTATGTTCCTTATTACCATTTGAGAATGTATTGTTAAATACAAAGCTGCATACATTTTGTGTCATTTATATCTGCCTGGAGGTCTGCTTTGAACAAAGTCTTTTTTAATTTGAAAGTATATGGCTGCAAATTTTATTACAGTTGTTTAGTTGTAACAGGTGGAGGCACAGGGTTCTGAGTAATGTACCTAGCTATTTGATTGCATTTCTGCTATGTGCTTGTCATGCCTGACCTGGTTAACCAAATAATCTGTACACGTCTAATTCCCACCCTCCGCCTCCGTCGGAGAAATGGAAAATGATTGGGAGTAAACAGAATAATTTGAACCAAACACTCAATAGAAGTAGGAAACAAAAAAAACCAGAAACGGCTGCAGTGGAAAATTTCAGCATGTACTCCCATCTTGTACCAGACAAATAGTAAACTGTAAGCGTTCCTCGAGAGAAACTCATAAAAACTCCATCTGTTCCTTCATAAAAGTACCACATTGCCTCCGGTTTCCAAGTATTTCAGTATTTTGTCTTTTATCTAACATATTATTTTCTCCCATCATTATCTTGTTATTTTCAGCAATGGAGACATTTAACGTTCAAGTTGAAATCTGCAGCCTCTGCATTCATTTGGTGTCAAGATGCTTTTAGAATACCTCTCGAAAAATGAAACGCTTGTTGCAGGGCTTAGCTTGTCTTCAAGATTTGCAAATTTTTTTTTTATTTTTTTTTGGGGGGGGAATAATAAGCTAGTCAAACAAGCAAGGTTTTTTTTTTTGTTTTTTTTTAAGTGTTCTATAGATATTAATTATTGCTCTAAGATATAATGTTTGCAAAGCAGCAGCCTTTCAATGGTTATGCTGTTTTAGAAAATTGTAGGAATTTTTTAAAACCTATAAAGTAGAATTCTAAAAAAAGAAAAAACTTTATTTTTAGGTTTTGCATAGAGCAGGGGATGGTTAGAACCTGTCAGGTTTTTATTGCTGCCTATGTCTGCTTTGGTAAGATTTCACCTATACCAGGATATTCATACCTATTCCTATCCTGGAAGGGTGTCTCCTCTCCTCCCATACCCCTCCCACTTCCTAAAACCTATTAGCCAGGTAGGCCACAAGTCACAGTGATTGAAACTAAATAATGGATGAAGATATGCCATGTGCCAAAAATAGAATTGGCAATAAATAATGCCTAGGCATATTACATTCAAGAGAGAGCATATGCATAAATGTATTCTACACCCCAAAATGTACGTATTTCCACTTGAGCTTTTGCTTTTTTTCCACTATATGCATGTTTATGGATAGGGCATATTGTAACTACAAGGGATATTCTGTAACATCTGAGGATGTTAAATCTATTGTGCTGCATAATTCCTAATTTCTATGGTTAGCCTTGCATTCTGCTCAACCATCCCACCACCCTGTCCCTTTCCCCATCACCCAAAGTTAAAAGGTTATCTCCGGATACAGAAAAACCCTCCCCTTGTCTAGGGGAATTCCTTAAAGTAGTTGTATGTACCGCTCCTGATGGCTCCAAGATCAGCGCCCACAGCCTCTTCTTCCCATGGCTCCATCGGTTCGGGGGACCACTGACGTCATAACATGTAATGCATGGTCCATAGCCCTGCATTAGATGAGAGGACGCCGAGGGACATTTCACAGATAGACTGAAGGGGGGAAAAAGGTGCGTGCCAACCTCTGGGGGAGCAGAGATCAGGCAAGTAAAACTGCCTTCAAGAATCCCCCTAGACAAAAACAAGCAGTTAACCCTTGCAGTGTTTTTTTTGTAGAAGGGAAGAGGCTTTAAGTCATTTAGTGCTGTGCCTTACAGTAGACTGAGAGGATCTATACTGTTTCTACTGTGGCTAATAGAGACCAGGTGAGAATATAATGTATATTATATAAATACACTATATATCAGTGTGGGCCAAAGTTTGTAAGGAACCTGTTGTATTTGGATTTAGGTACTCGAGCTCGTTGTCCGTTCTTTTTAATTGCAAGGATGTGACTTCACTAGGAAATCTTGATGGCACGGTGAGGTAATTTGGCTTTTTTTTTTGCTCTATGTGAAAGAAGCTCACAGGCTGTGATTTATAAACAAGGGCAGGATTTGGGCCTAGTACATTCAGGCATTCTCCAGCGGCAGCAGTCTTTCCAGTTGAAAGCCTCGCTTCCACTCGTCAGCTACAGGTGGCTGTTCCCTCATCAAAGGATGTATTTTGATGAGAAGTGGGCTCAGAGGATCTAGGGATTAAAACATGTTGTTACAGTGAAGGCAAATTTCTTACGTTTTTTTCCCCCCTCTGTTTTACTTCATTTAGGTTTTATACTTGCTCCAGTCCTTCTTCGAGGCAAAACACACAACTAATTCAGAGAAAATTCAGCAGGAGGTGTGTGACATCACCGACAGCTTGAAAGCCAAACTGTGGCTGGCCAAGAGGTATGTTTAAACTAAAGTTAAAGGACATTGCTGAGCTAATACAGCTAACCATTTATATCCTGGCACTTAAATGAATATGTAGCATTGTGAAAAAAAGAACCATCACAATAGTTATTTGCTTTTATTTTTCATATATGTAGTACTGTCAGATGTAGCTACACTCTACATCTAATCCTGCCACTGAAAGAGCTTACAATCTGAAGTCACATACACTAGACTAGTTTAAAAGAGGTCCTGGATCATGGAAGCTATGCCCCAAAAAAGGACTAGTTGCCAGTATGACTTACTGTGTCTGTGTAAAGGTAGTTATCTTGATAGAGGCAAGGCTTTGCTTTCTCATGTTGTCCACCTGATGACTAGTAGGGTAAAATTTAGAAAGCAGCAGGAAAAGTGCAGATATAAAAAATGCACAGAATGAGTGAAACAGAGATAGGGATACCCATGCAGTACAGGTCCTCATTACAGCTTCCTCTCCAGCAAGGAGAACGATGAGCGGTTCAGTAGTGACATCACCAAATCTCACAGATATAAAGCTATGGGGCTAAAGGCACAGAAATGCCCAAGCACAGTCAGGTGGCAGGAAATGGACTGCTATTTTTCTGTAGAGATTCAGTAACAGAATGCAAAGTAGATTTTCTGGTCCGTTGCATTTTTCTACATTTAGCTTATTTGTCACAGTAAGAGATTGAGGTCCTGACAACCATAGCACATGTTGCAGGTCTCTGCAGGGCTTACAGAGCTTCTGTTTGATATGCACATATAGGTCAGGGCAGCATTCCCGGTTCTGCAGGCAGGGAGAAAGTGATATTATCTCACTGAGGTGTATGTACTGTATATTACAAGGTGTGTGTATATAAACTGTCACCTAGGGCTAACTCTCAGAGATGCATTGATCCAGTGTATAGTCCAGTCTAGGTTAGTAGCCTGTACAATGACAGATTTCCCTGTTATTTAGGATTCTGTGAGCCATTACCGAATGTTGGAATTTACAAAGGTTTGTTTGACTATCCAGGTGTGTGAACCCTTGGAGATTACGAAGAGAAGTTTTGTAGGCATCAGTGGTGATAACCAAGGAGCTTATGCAATGTAGTAGCAAATACTATGAAACCCTTGAGATTGGAGGGGCAAGACTTGCCCCTGAGTCAAGTATGCTTGCTTCTTTTCCTGTCAGTACACCAACATGATCTTATAAATGAAGAAGCACATTGCTGACTCATGGCTGGTTTTAAAACTGAACCGCGAGTAGTCATCCATATGCACAGTTTTTTTATATATATATAGGATCTGTTGGTAACTTTCAGCTACTTTTGCGAGCTAGGCACCCATATCTGACAACACAGCCTGGCTGTTTCTGAAAATACCCCATGCTGCGATCGTTGTCAGTTCAGTTTACGTTTGTTTTTGACATGTCCGTTTTGGGCCTTTTATAGTATGGTAAATTCCCATGATTCTTTGCTTTCCCCAGCGTGCATTACGCTTGCCAGACTGCATTACAACATCAGTCCCAGAAAACAGACGTAACCTGATCTGATGTAAACTGATCATCCGTTTACATCAGTCCCGGTCAGTCACAATGGAGAGCTGATCCGTCTCAAATTCCGGACCTCAACTGGCACTGATGTTACCTGATGTAAACTGATGGTCTTCAGTTTTCATCCACACTGCCAAAGGCCCCTTTCACATGGATTGATCAAGAGGATTTGTGCACAGATCCTCTCCTGGTCACAGCAGTACAGATAAGATGTCACTCCGCACAGTTTTTTTTCTCTATCTTGAGATGGAAGAAAAAACTGAAACTGCCAGACACCATGTGTGTCTATATGGAATATGATGTAAATGGACAGTCCATTTACATCAGATTACCCCCAATCCGGCATGATCCTGTCATTTGAAATGGAATACTGTTACGTCTGTTTTTTTAGACCCAGCTGGTAACCAGGTGTAAACAGACCATTTACACACGGCTGCCCATAGACTTGCATTGGGCATCCGATTGGGTCGGTCTGGAAAACTGACATGCGGACTCAACCGGACCGCCAGTGTGAACTGTGCCATAGAGATGCATTGTTGGCGATTTTTTTCATCTGCAAACAAAAGATTGGAAACCTGACAACCTGATTGCTTGTGTGAAAGGGGCCTTACTGTGTTTCATAATAAATTGCTACATTTTTATTATTATGATACTTGTTTGTATCTTTTATTCACTCTTTGTTTCATCTCAGGACTGACAATCTCTTGCACCCCTTTTTTTTTTGGAGTCACTCTACATGCACCCCAACAATGGCTGCATGGCATTTCTCAGGCCGGGTTTATTGATAGTCCCAAAAGTGGAACATGGCTGTGTATTGTGTGTTAAATTGATTACTTATAGTCTTCATCAGAAGCCTGTGTGTCAGGGTTGGTACAACCTGATACAATTGTGTAACAAACACATATCCCACTGAATAAATTATATAGTGTAATTAGTGTCATGCCATTGAGGGCCTCTGCTCTCCTTTGGGCATTACCATGGACAGATCAATCTCTTTAGTATAGCCCTAGGTGACAGTATGTCATCTGGATTCCACATACAAACACTTAGATGAGACAGTATCACTTCATCCCTGCCTGCAGAGCAAGGAGTACTGGACTGACCTGTATGTGCATATCACACAGAAGCTCTGTGGACCACTGTAGAGACCTGTAACTGGGTTGTGTTTTTTTAAGACCTCTCAGCCTCTGCCTCACATTTGCAATATGTTATGTCCCAGGCAAGGAAATATATACGTCTTGTTTCATTTGTATTCATTGGCACCGCACATTATTGCTGTTGGATCACCTTTCTGGTGCTGTAACTGTCCAAAGCCTGTGTCTGGTTCAGTCTCCTCTCCCTTCCCCTCTTCTGGCCTTTTCACTCAGAACTGCAAATAAACACCCCCTTCCCCTCTTCTGGCCTTTTCACTCAGAACTGCAAATAAACACCAGGCACTTTCCCTTAAAGCTGAACTCCAGGATAAGCAAATATTGTCTAAATACAAGAGGCATGTGTGTTGGTATTCAAATCTTAGTGAGCGTTGTGTATTTCTTTCAGATCTGTGCAGTACACCATTAAAACTTTGCCTGTGTGCAAGAGCTTCCTGTAATAAAGACCAGAAACTTCTGCGCTCTGTCCTTGTGCAGGGAGGCTGGTCTTGTCTCCGCCTGCTAGGTCCCTCCCACATCTCTCTAATCTGCACAACATAGTGATGATGTCACCACTAATTTTACAAGCTAATCACTGGGTTTGCAAAGGCATTTGCAAACCCAGTGATTGAGCAGTGAGTGAGCATGCACCCAATGTGGATTCATATCCTTTGTGAGTATGAAGGAAAATATTGAAAATTAAAGGTTTTGTGCTCAGAGTTTAGATTTAATGTGAGTGTGTCTGCTAAAAGATACTTTACAGGATAAATTGTGCTCCTAAACTAAACTTTATTGTAAAATGATAGTTTTCCTTTTGGTGCAGAATATTAGACATTCAGTTTAGGGGTCACTTTAACCCAAAACTACCGATCAGATTTTTAGCCACCTTTTGACCCCTAGAGTTGAGCATTGGAGTCCAGAGGTATTAGCTGATGCCCTATTCACTCCCTGACCAGATACAAATAATGCACATTGGCTCCTGAGTATGTACAGTATAACTGTGTCAAATATCAGAGCCTTCAAGTTCTCTACATTCTTATGACCTATGGGGTTCTGTAATTAATTATGTATATGCACATTCGGGAGCTAGGACTGTCATATTTGAGAGGCAGTCTGATGCATAAGGGGTCTACTTATAAACAATTTGCAGGGCACTTCATCTTGTGAATATCTGTGAATGTCCATTTTATGAGAATAATGGCAAAAATGCACATTGTGGATATATTTACTTTTCAGGTCGAATGTATTGCGATGTAATACTGCTTTATGGCCACTAGATGGAGCGAGAAGCTTAGGACATAAACACTTGTTTGCTAAACAGAAACAGCATAAGAGATAAAGCTCCATATCAAAGGTAGGCATCCTTGGCACTGCTGTGGCATTTGAACACTCTGACAGCCACAGGCATGACTCCCAGAGGTTGTAGTTTCAGCACAGCTGGAGTGCCAAGGTTGCCTAGCCCTGCACTAGATTATTCAACCTGTCTGCATCCATCGTAACTATAGAAAAAAACATATGGAGTGGACTCTACCTTTTATTTATGTAATGAATAAATTAGGGATGCACAGATACTAGTATCTGTATTGGCGCTGATACCGAGTATTTAGGCAAGTACTCGCCTAAATGCTCCGATACTTATCTCCGATACCAGAACTTCCCTCTGCCCTTATCTGAGATCTCCCTCTGACCAGCAGTGCCAAGGGAGCATGGAGCCGGCTTCCTTTGCAATCAGAAAGTCGGGCAGTGGGTTATGACCCACCTCCCGGCTTCCTGATTGGTCAGGAAGCCTGGCTGCCTAGGAATAAGTGAAGCCGGTTTCCTAGCCAATCAGGAAGACGGGAGGCAGGTGATGATTGGCTAGGAAGCCGGCTTCACTTGTTGCTAAGCAGCCTGGCTTCCTAACCAATCAGGAAGCCAGGTGGTACGTAATGACCCACCTCCCAGCTTCATGATTGGTCAGGAAGCCTGGCTGCCTAGGAATAAGTGAAGCCGGTTTCCTAGCCAATCAGGAAGCCGGGAGGCAGGTCATGATTGGCTAGGAAGCCGGCTTCAATTGTTGCTAGGCAGCCTGGCTTCCTGACCAATCAGTAAGCCAGACAGCACCTCATGACTCGCCGCCCGATGCAGGCAGCCTCTGAAGCCGGTGTTCTTTCGCTAGAACAGGGAGTTGGGCTGCAAATCATGACCCATCGCCCGGCTTCCTGATTGACTGTGAAGCCGGTGTTCTAGCAAAAGGGGCAGAATGCAAAAAAAAAATATGGGTACTCGTACTTAATACCCAAAAACCGGTATCGGTGCATCCCCAGCATAAAGGATCCTGCCCCAAGTCGCCTGGACATACTCCTTTTTGTGGAAAAAAAAAACTTCTAAATGAACTCCTAGATCTTTAAATTGTGTATTTCAGTCTTTTTGACGACAACATAGAAGCCCTGAGCACTTCTCATTATCAATATAATGTGATTTTCAATTGCTGGTTTAGCTTTGCAGCTTGTGTGCTGATCAAAATCATATGCGCACGGTCTAGATTGAATTACACTGGAGAAGCACATTTGCTGGGGAACAGAGGACCAATCATTGCGTGTTCCAGAATATTTATCTCATGGCCACAGGGGATGGCAATCTGATTCAGTTACAGATTAGGTTCTGCCGCCATTATATAAAACATACAATTTCTGTCATCGTTATATAAAACATACAGCATCCCTGTGTTTAAATAAATGGCTCGTAGTGTTTAACTTTCCTCTCTTTTGATGTTCCAGGCAAAATCCGTGTTTGGTAACCAGAGCGGCTTTTATCGACATCCTGACTACCATCAGCAATTATCTCGGAAAAGCCGGGAATCAAGGTACGCAAGTGCAGACTGTAGGTCAAGGCTAGCAAAATGAGTGGATGGAAAGGCACAGGCATAAGGAGTCAAAACCTCAGGGGCCACTGAAGTGCATCTTGTGTGTGTGTGTGTGTATTATATTGCCAAAAGTATTGGGACGCCGGTCTTCACATGCACATGAACTTTAATGGCATCCCAGTCTTAGTCCGTAGGGTTCAATATTGAGTTGGCCCACCCTTTGCAGCTAAAACAGCTTCAACTCTTCTGGGAAGGCGTCCACAAGGTTTAGGAGCGTGTCTATGGGAATGTCTGACCATTCTTCCAGAAGCGCATTTGTGAGGTCAGGTACTGATGTTGGATGAGAAGGCCTGGCTCGCAGTCTCTGCTCCAATACATCCCGAAGGTGATCTATTGGGTTGAGGTCAGAACTCTGTGCAGGCCAATCAAGTTCCTCCACCCCAAACTCACTCATCCATGTCTTTATGGACCTTGCTTTGTGCACAGGTGCGCAGTCATGTTGGAACAGGAAGGGGCCACCCCCAAACTGATTCCACAAAGTTGGGAGCATGAAATTGTCCAACATGCCTTGGTATGCTGATGCCTTAAGGGTTCCCTTCACTGGAACTAAGGGGCCAAGCCCCTGAAAAACAGCCCCACACCATAATCCCCCCTCCACCAAACTTTACACTTGGCATAGTGCAGTCAGGCAAGTACCGTTCTCCTGGCACCGCCAAACCCGGACACGTCCATCGGATTGCAAGACAGAGAAGCGTGATTCGTCACTCCAGAGAACAGGTCTCCACTTCTCTAGAGTCCAATGGCGGCGCGCTTTACACCACTGCATCCCACGCTTTGCATTGCACTTGGGGATGTGAGGCTTGGATGCAGCTGCTCGGCCATGGAAACCCATTACATGAAGCTCTCTACGCACTGTTGTTGTGCCAATCTGAAGGCCACACGAAGTTTGAAGTTCTGTAGTTATAGACTCTGCAGACAGTTGGCAACTTCTGCACACTGTGCGCTACAGCATGCGCTGACCGCGCTCTGTTATTTTACGTGGCCTACCACTTCGTGGCTGAGTTGCTGTTGTTTCCAGTTGCTTCCACTTTGTTATAATACCACTAACAGGTAACTGTGGAATATTTAGTAGCAAGGAAATTTCACAGATAGGTTGCCACCTGTGCAATAAGTCTATCACGGTACCACATGAGATCCAGTTCGGGAATGTTTCACACAGATCTTAAAGTAGAACTGAAGCCAAAACTTTTTTTGTTATTGTTTTGGATAGAGTAAGGGAGCGTAATAACCCCTTACTCTAGCCAAATTTATTTTTGCCACCTGTGTCCCATTGGGGAGATTTCCCTTTACTTCCTGTCCAGTTGCCACAAGAGAAAGTGAGAGGAAATCCCTCCTGCTAGTCTATGTTAGTTTTCTGTATGCATACTTATCTATGCTATATACACAGGAAGTTCTCTATGCTGTAAATGCTTTTATTCTGATGTAATGGTCCTGTAAGCAAGTAAAACTTAATTTCTCAAGATCTCAGTGCTTCATATAACCAACATACTATATCACACTATAGCGTTGCACTAAGCACACTGGATCCTTTCTTTTATCACCATGTTGTAAATGAAAATTGGGGGCAGCCAGGGTCATTGCAATATCACTTATTTTCTGTTCCATGTCCTGCATCTACTATGCTTGACTACCTTACACCTGTTCCATCACAATTTTGGGGGGAATTGAATCCAAACCATTACAATTATTTCAATGTTATGGTGAATGGAAGCATCATACATCTTATAGGTGGCATCAATGGCATCTGTTTTTGTTAAGTACTCGTGCAAATGTTGTATTAGGGTTGTCTGGATGCACAGTGATGTACAGCAACCTCACCTTGGTTTCCAGTGTTGTCACAAGTTAAGCATTGGACGCACTGCAGCAGGGTGAGACTTGTGGTGTCCTCAGTGTGGTTACGTGTTATGCTCTATGACGCCCATGTCTGAACAACAGTGCGCAAATTCTTATGCAGCAGATCTGATCTGTAGGTGAGATAGGGAAGCCTGGAGTACACCAGGATGTTTCTGCAGCGTGTGACACTTTTAAAACTATAAACTGTGTAGAAAAAGAACTTGTTCAACGGAAACCTATGCTCAGAAAATACATAGGCGGCCTTAATGAATATATTTGATAATAGCCATCTGACTGTTTAATTACGAAAGAGTTTCTACAGAAAGACAGAGAGGAACAAAAGGGGTACCAAGATTCCCATGGTGCAGTACTTAACGTGTCTGTATGTAGATTACAAGTGAATATTAAATAAAATAGGATTACTTACAGTACATCTTGGTGGGTAACCAAACTAAGTAATGGCTTGCAGAGAATATTTCTGTCTCTCTGCAGGTCTTTAGGGCTTGATGGTCAATCTTAATGCTGATGATATTTTTTTAGAGATTGTTTTAAGCTGAACTCCAGGTATAAATATGTATATATACTTTCATTGATCCAGCTAGGCATAAAGTAAATATGGATAGTTTATACATGGAAGGACCACATAGATCCTATAAAACACTGAGAGTCCGCCTAATATTCATTGATAAAAGTACGAGGCGTTCCCAAAATGACTGCTGTGCCGAGTGTGCGACCCTCTGTGTTTTTAAAACAGAAGGGAAGTCATTCAGCACAGCGGACATACAGGACCCAGAAGAACGCTGTAAAGCACTGTAGTAGCATCAGCATTGGGGGTGTGGCCACTAAAGGGTGTGGTCACTGAGGGGCGCTGTAAAGCTTTCTCGCACAGGGCGCCTAAAGGCCTAAGGCCTGCCCTGGTTGCTCGCTCTCCACAGCAACCATTCAGTGAATGCCTAGTATTTTAATCAGTGAGTACTAGGCGTTCTCTGATTGGACAAGTGACTATGCTGTGACATCATTGCTTCTTGTCCAGTCAGACAACACCTAGTATTCATGCTACTTTTGTACCATGCATTTTGACATATTGCAACACATACTTTGGCAGGCATGTATGGGGTGCCATTAAGAAATAATGGCACCATAGAATGTTTGCAAAAAAGATACACGTCCTTGTGCTGCGGGAATTTTGCACACGTTCTCCTGGTGCACAGGTGTGAACCAGGGCTTAGGTGGAGGGAGTAATCTGCTCATTGCAGTAGCTGAAGCCTGGATATGATAGGCCTGACAACAAAACACTGACAAATTTCCTGTACTTGGCACAGTTTAATATGCCCAGAGAACGCTTAGGTTAAGGTGCCCATACACCTTACGATTATCAGACGAAACTTTTCGTCCGATCGAATAGTTGTACGATTTTCGTACGGCAGCCCCATCCTGCCCCGATGATCGCAAGATTAATTTAGCCGTAATTAACGAAAAGCACCTGGACGAAATGCGGTAATTGATTTGCCGTATTTTCGTTAGCACAAGCGCAGTGCAGATCGTATGACTTTTGACGGATGGAAGCGCCAGCAACCTTGCGAAAATCGTACGATCGACCAAAGTTTTCAAACATGCTTGACCCTCAAAAGTCGTACGCTTGTACAGTACAGTACTGTCGGTCGGACACTGCAATGCACACATACGATTATCGGCCGAAAAGTCGATTGCATACGAAAATCGTAAGGTGTATGGGCACCTTTAGAATTCCCTTTCATGTCATTGCCCATATTTAGACTTAGTTCATATATAGGCAATAATGTCACAGGGAACTATATTTTGTCTAAATATCGGGCGAAATCATTGATAAATATACCTCTAAGATGCGTATGCTAGTTTCATGTAGAAACAGAATTATTTATTTATTTTTCTTTTTAAGAATACATAACTGGTTGAAAATGGTGCTTCAGTATTATGTAATTGGTGGAGGACTAATTCGCTGAGGAGGCCTTGCTTGTGGGTCTTGTCTCACCCCTGGATGTGGAAACAGGGAGCGAGTAGACAGATGGAAGCATGGGTGCCAAAGTGTTCAGACACGGTGCCTGGTAGAAGTCCGGCAACTGGATCCCTGAAGGATGAGCAGGGCTGGTGCACAGCTGTGGTCAGCGAGGTTTGCAGCAGAAACTGGAGCAAGGTTAAACAAGCCAGATGGTCAGCACGGTACAGAATGAGCAGGCAGAGACAAAGTCCAGATAACAAGCAGAAGTCAGGGGCAGGCAGCAATCAGTCGAAGTCAGCAGAAATCCGGGTCGAGGTAACCTGCAACAGATCAGCAGGAACACAAGCTGAAAGATCCTTCAGCACTGACCCATTGGGCCAGCTGGTTTAAATAGGAAAATCTATTAGAGGGCCTTGAGTCACTTTCTGTGTGCCACTGTGTCACTTCCTGTGCGCCACATTCTGTTGTGCGCGCATGCGCGCTAACATGTTTTCCGGCAAGCAGTAGCGCGCGAGCTCCCGGCTATGGCCTTAGATTCAGTTTATACCTGACTTAAGTTCTACCTTAGGCCAACATTCACACCTATATCTTTAGGTGCATATAGGGATTCCTGCATCAAGAACTTGTGTTTTCCTGCAGCAGGAATCCCTAATCTGCCAATTACAAGCATCAGCTGCCATTCATTCAAGTTAATGATCGGGTGACAGCCGCTGCATTTGAACGTGGGAACACTGCATGTATTCATATGTGATAAGATTACTTGCGGTTGGGAATCAATTTACTCTCCCTGGACACACAATTGATGTGCCCAGGGAGAGTGATTGATTCCTGACCGCATGTAAGCGTATCACATGCGATGTTGCAGCATTCAAATGCAGCGGCTGACAGTCTAGGGTTGCACAGATACCAAGTACAGTACTCGGTACAAGTACGAGTACATGTACCGATACTTTTGAGCTCCAAAACTACACTAGAGAAAAATTCAAAAATTAGGAGGCAGCTGTCATTTGTAAGGAGCACACGGAGCTCCCGGGATTTGTACATCTCTGTTTTAATGTACGATTTTGTTTTTATAAATATAAATAAAGGGATGCACAGATACCAGTTTTGAGAGTACGACTACTGGTACTTGCCGAGTACTTACAAGTATGAGTACTGATACATTTTTGTTTATTGTCATGTGACAGTTTTTCTAGAACAATACAGACTAATGATTTCAGGACAGTGGTGGAGCACCAGAGCCAGGTCCCAGCTGCAACCGCTGCAACCCTGGTAGTTCTCATGAAAATGCCAAGTATCTGTACTGGTACTCAGAAAGTATCTGTGCATCCCTAGCTGACACCCAATCATTAACTTGAACAGATGATAGCTGCCACTTGTAAACGGCAGATTAGGGATTCCTGACGCAGCAATCCCTAATCACAGCTAAAGATATGGGTGTGAATGAGCCCTAAAGGTGCCCATACACTTTACAATTTTCTGGAGATTTTTTGTCTGCGAGTTGGAGTGTACAACCTCCATTACTGTACAACTGGCAGATTTTTGTCTTTCTAGCAGGCATGCTGAAACGAAAATCTGTCCTTTCAATCGATGAAAGTCAGCCAGGTGGTGCTGACGAGCGTTAATTGCGAACTACATTGGCCTGTGCATGATGGGCTAGTTGTAAGAAAATTTGACCTCTGGACAAAAAAAGTTGAAAATATCCTGTAAATGACTGGAACTCACCTTTATGTTCCATATTCGGTACACTTTTTTTTTTTCAAGCTGCAACTCTCAGACTCCCATATAAATTTGTTTGTCCTTCCCACAGTCCTGTCACATATATTTATGTATTGTGTTTATTTGATTTTCCCCTTGTGCGGTTTTCTGTTTTGCTCCTGTTCCTTGGCGTTCCTGTGTCATGAATGCTTTATTAGCATGTGTAAGCTGCAGAACTTGATATTTTCCTATATAGATCATTTTGAGTCTTTCTTGGCTAAAATTCTTGTTACTTCTATTTCAGGATAATTCCCTTTCCATTTCTTGTGCTGTTTTTGTCGTGTGTGTGTGTGCGTGTGTGTGTGTTTGCATTGGAATCTTGCTTTGTATTTGCAGAAGTACAGTATTGGCATTCTTAAAATAGAAGCTATTTTAGGTGATGTCACTTCAATTACAAATCGAAAAAATGAGGGTTATGTTCCTCATTTAAAGCCGAGTTGAAGATACAGAAATAGAGATTGAGCCAGATGGATATAACAGCCTTCAATTCATAGTCTTAACTCCTGTAACTGCATTGTGTCTAAATATGTCTGCACAATCCGATCCGGCACCGCAGATCCAGCCAGACATACCCCTTTTCTGGTCAGACACATCCCTCTTCCTTCCTCTGCAGTAAAAATCTGTTTGAGAAGACTGGTAATGAGGGGTGTGGCTATTACTCAGCTATATCAGCATAGAGCACTGCAGTGGAAGACCAGGAAGCACATTACCACTAATAAAAAGTTATTTAAGGGATTTCTAAGCAATAATTAGTTATGAGTTACAACTTGTAGGAATACAAGATTATAAAGAGAAAAAAGTGTGAGACTTCAGTTGGATTTTAAAGGTTGATAGACAGTAATTGCAAATCATTCATTTATGCAGAGGCCAGCTGTTCCAGAAGGAGCTCATGGGCTAATATCCTAGCTTTTTACCATAGATAAAGTGATTCAAATGTACCTTTTTTGTGGAATGAAACTAGAGCAACTATAGTATATCCATGCAAAAAAAAGAGACCTCTATCACTCAAGTAACATCATAGGGCATGTGTCAGAAAGTAGAAGTATTGTTACTGCCATATCACATGGGTTGTTATTCCTAATTCACCAATCACAAATCCAAATAACATGAGGTCTGTTCCTTTGTATGAACCTTTGTGCATGAGCACCTAGACAGGAAGTAAGGGAAACTTCCTCAGTGGGGGCATAAATGGCAATACAAAAATACTTGACAGGGGTTCTAAACCTTCCTCACTTCACTAGAAGAATTCATTTATTGCTGTCTGTGTCTCCTTTGAGAAGATTTGACCTCACTTCTTCTTCTGTAAATAAAAACCAATTGAGCACCTTCTCCTGTACATTATCAATTATTGTAAATGAATACGAAACAATAAAAACCAACTCACAAAGGTAAGGTGCAGGCAGTGTCTGAACAAAGGAGTCACAGAATGACTCTATCTGCAAGGCTGTTGGAGGGTGAGACCAGCAAAGACATATTCGTTTTTAGATTGTGAGCTCTCACGGGCAGGGCCCTCCTTACTGTAATGTCTTCCTTATATTGTTACATAGTTACATAGTATTTGAGGTTGAATAAAGACATATGTCCATCAAGTCCAACCCATTGTGTGTGT